GCCCACTCGGGAGGAAAAGCCGCGTCCCCACCGTGGCCTGCGGGGCCCAGCACATCTGGACCTGCCCCTGCCCCTTTCTGCCCCCGCTGGCTCCGCTCCCAGCACCCCGGGCCTTCGCCTGGCGTTCTGTCCCAGGGTTTTCCCGAGGTAGGTCTCTGGTCAAATGTCACTTTATGACAGAGGCTTCTTTGACCACCTTCTGCAAGACAGCACCCCCACTACCCTGAAGTGCTCAGGTCCCCCACCGAGTCATCTTTCCACCGAGCGCTCACCTCCTGACGTATTATCGCCTGCTTAGCTGCGGCCTCCCCTCCGGGAATGTGCGCCCCCAGAGCGCGGAGGCGGCGAACGCACGTCAGGACACGGCCTCAGCCTTCTCACACATGGTCTCTGCTCCTCCCAAGAGCGGGCCTAGAACGTGCTTTCACGCTGGGGACCACCTGCCCTGGCTCCCACCACAAGCTCCGTCCTGCCTTCGAGATCCTGCCCTGGCACTCGGCAGCCAGTCTGTAAAGTGTTCCTTCCCCACGAGGCCAGGGCACCACAAAGCAGGGACCCCACACACATCCACTGAATCCATATAAACACCCAGATCCCTGCCCGGCGGCCAGCCCCACGCACTCCCGTGTCCCTTCCCTTCGGAGACTTTAACAGCCACGGAGCTGTCGAGGGAGCCCAGTGAAAAGCAAGTGCACCCTGCACCCCAGACCCCCGCCCTCAAGAGCCCCTCTCCAAAGTACCCTCTCAGGAGGTGCCTGGGAGGCACAGTCGGTTAAGCGTCCGACTTCAGCTCAGGTCATGATCTTGTGGTTCGTGAGTTTGAGCCCCGTGTCAGGCTCTGTGCTGACAGCTGGAGCCTGGAGCCTGCTTCGGATTCTGTGTCTCCCTCTCTGCCCCTCCCCTGCCCACGCGCTGTCCCTCTCTCCCTCTCTATCTCTCTCAATAATAAATACTCACAGGAGTATATCAGGGCAGGGAATATGGGCTCGTTTCTCTCCTGGGCCGTTTCCACCAGCATTCTCAGTGGCCCTTTGGGGCACAGCACAGCCACGAGATCTGGGAGAACAAAGACAGCCGGGACGTGTTACAAGTGACATTTATTCCCAAGCAGCCCCAGAGAGGAGCCGGCCTGCTAACACCGGGGCACAGGCGAGGCTCGGAGCATGTCCTGCGTGCCAGCTCCCAGCCCCCGGTTTCCAGCCATAACCGCGAGTCTGTGCTGGTTGAAGCCCAGAACGGGGTCTCAACGGGCAAATGAGGAATCGCCGTGTGGCTCGGGGACCCCGATGGCCGGCTTGCCATCCGACTTCCCTGAGCCTTGGATTCCTCACCCTCAGATGGAAGTCACGGCACCGGGGACAGAATCACACCGACGCTTCTTACACGGCAGCTAACGCTTTGGGTGCTCAGCATTTACAGGGTCCCATGGCCGATCCCATGGCCGAGGACGTAGGAGCAAACTGCTTCCAGGGTGTCGCGAGCGCTCACCGGATGCGCGATTATCAGTGGCCACGTCAAGCGCCCGCGTCTCACGAAGGCGAGCCTCTCAGAGGGGAGACCACCCACCCAGCTTTCTTCGGGGAGGGGGGCACCTTTCAGCACCTGCCACTCGCGTGCACCAGTGAGGGGGACTCGACCCGGACGCAGCCCCCGCCCGCAGCCTCGAGGCCCGCCTGAGCCCGCCTACCGTACACAGAGATGGCACCCAGGATGACCCACGCGGACCACTCCGGAAGGTACTTGATGAACACCAGGGCCATGAGGGCGCTGATCATGATGAGGTAGGCCTGCTGCAGGACCAGGGGGCCCTTCCAGTGGATACACACCATGCCCACCGCCCCGAAGTTCCAGACCGTCAGGAACAGCGTGGGGTAGTCCATGGCCACGTTGTAGGTCTTGAGCACCTCCCTGCGCGACCAAGGGCCAGCCCGTGGGGCGGGGAACTCGGTGGAGAGACCACACCCAACCAGACACAGTTCGACACTCCCGGCTCCTCAACCATGAAGTCCCAGCCCGGGTTTTTCCAACCTCTGGCTTCACTCGCCAATCTCCCCTTCCCTGTTTCTGTGAGCCCCACAACCACCCACTTGAAGTATTTTCCAGAACGAGGTGGGGAATGTATACCAACGTCTCATCCTTGGACTGGCTCCCGTAAACGTGTGCCGGCACAGCCTGGAGGACCCCGTGCCCAGGAGAAAGGTCCTTGGCAGAGGGTTTTCCCCTGTCCCTCCAGTCCCTTTGGGCCCCTGGGTCAGGCTGAGAGCCCAAATCGAGGGCAAGAGAGCACATCACTTTTCCCACGAACGAGGAAGCACCCAGGTCTGGCCCAAAGTGGAGAATGTAAACTTTCTGTATATGTATATCCCTCTTGGGTTCACAGAATTCATCCTCCGTGCTTATTTGTTTTAAATCAGCAACCGGGGGCGCCTGGATGGTTCAGTCGGCCGAGCGTCCGACTCTTGATTTCAGCTCAGGTCCTGATCCCAGGTTGTGGGCTTGAGCCCCTTTTGGAGCCTGCTTAAGATTCTCTCTCTCCCTGTCTCTCTGCCCCTGCCCCCTGCTCACTCACGTTCTTTCTCTCTCTCTCTCTCAAATAAATCTAAATCATCCATCAGGAACCAGGTAGGGATGGAGAGGCTTGCCGAGAGCGCCACTGGCGCATGTCGAGGCCACGGGAGGAGGGGTCGGAGGCCTGGCTGTAGGAGCAGCGACACGGGCGAGCGAGAGTCTGGAGCCTGCTGGGCACCCCTCCCCGCCCCGGTCCTCGAGGAGCCTGCTGCCCGCGGGGGGCACTTACCCGAGGTAGATGTAGGTGAAGAGGAAAAGCAGCATCAGCGAGGACATGATCAACCAGCCGTGTATAAACTAGACAACAGAAACGGGCAGAATGACCACGGGCCCCCAGCTTCTCGGGACTGACCCCCAAGCCTCCGAATCTTCGTTAGGCCCCTCTGGGACTACGCTGGAAGGCACCGGGTGGCCGTGTGACAGATTGAGGGGGCAAAGAAATTCACGGAGTTCTCTCAAGGTCACCCGGCAGGTGGATGGGGTGAAAAATCCCTCAGGTCCAAGCAGCCAGACCCCTGTTCCCTCACGGAGACACAGGACGTGCTGGACAACTGTCACCTATAGGCGTGGCCCTAGGCTCCGGGGAGGCAGCCAGCGGGGTTCCCGACCATGGCGAGGGCCGTCAGCCGATACACATATAAACGTATTGACAGGTAGTCACAAAGGCTACGGAGAAGAAAACGGCAGGACAGAGGGACAGGAGACTCCCTGGGACGATGCCTGTGTGATGGGGCCAGGGTGGCCTCCACTGGGGCCTCTGCTCGTCCGCTACCCCCTGGGCCCCGGCTGCAGCCACAGGGCGCGCCCGTCAGCACGACCTGCACACCCAGCCCAGGGGGAAACGGGAAGGGCAAATAAACCTGCCGGAGAGGCGAGGGGCGGGGTGAAAGGAGCCTGAAACAGAACATCTCGCTTCTCCCAACACTGCGGGGAGGGACCCGGGCAGGTGGGATTCTGTGTCCGATCAAAGGACGGTGACGGCGGGCAGGCAGTGCGGGGCGGGGCGAAAACCGGCTTCTGCTCTGCAGCGGGCCACGCCGCCGGCCACAGGCGGCTCCGCGAGCGGTGCGGGGCCGGCGGGCAGGACGAG